TCACAATCCATACACACATCAATCGTGTAAAACACATTTGTACATTCATTGCCCTCATCATTCTCAAAACATTTTCTCTCCACTTAAACCCCCGGCATTAGGTCCTCATTTTTCCCCTCCCTCCCCGCTCCCCACAGAAAAACCATTTCCCAGTATTGCTGATCCTTTGTTACAATGAGTGAAATGATATCCAATAGTTTTGGACAAATGCAAACATATAATTTCTACTGGAACAGATATAAAACAAATTGAAGATAATCCTTTTTTTCATTGTACCATCTTATTTATAGCAATATATAGAGCATGGTTATTATCATTTGATAAAAAGTTTGCTAGAGTGCTAAATTGAATTGGTACCAAATAATTCTCCCCACTTTGCTGTATATTCTGGACATATGAATAAATAGAAAAATAATTAGTATATAGCTCCTGTACTCTCGGCATCTTGAAAAAACATACTGAAGCACATGAAAGGCTGATGACTGTGTACAGTATCAAGTGTTAAGTGCTCTCAAGTTTCAACTCGGCATCCCCATGTACAGCGCAATGAGATGCTACTGTAGCCCTGCACCATCTTTGATATAGTTAAGCCCATTGTTCCAGCCACTGTTACCCATCCATTTTATTGAGGTCTTCTTCTTTTTCACAAACTATGATGTCCTTCTCCAGGACGGATCTTTACTAAAACGTCCAAAGTATTGGAACTGCAGTGTTACTTTTAAGGAGCTTTCTGGCTGTACTTCCTCCATGACCAATCTCATTCTTTTGCAGTCCACCATGTATTTAGTATTCTTTTCCAACAACGTAATCCACAAGCACCGATTCTTTTCTGGCCTTCTTTATTCATTGTCCAGTTCCCCTAGCAATTAAATACCATGAATTGGGTCAACCCCAAAGTTGCATCTTTCCCTTTTAATACTTTATGTATTTTTTTAATTAAAAGATGATTTTATTGACAACTCTTATTGCAGTTGATACAGTGATTGCATCACACATGTTTGTACATGTGTTGCCTTCATTCATTTCTAGACATTTACTTTTTATTGAGCGCTTGGTATCAGCTCCTCATTCCCACCCCCATACCCCCTTGATAAATTATAAATTATTATTTTCATATCACACTGACCGCTGTCTCCCCGTGTTTTCTGTTCTTCCCCCTGGAGGAGGGGTATATGGTTAATGTGTCAATCATTGCGATTGGTTGGTTCTTTTTTAATACTTTCAAGAGATCTGTTTCACACATTTTCCCAACACAATGTGTTGTGACTGCTGCTTCCATGATTGATTGTGGATCCAAGAAAAATGAAATCCTTGACAACCTCAATCTTCTCACAGTTTATCCTGATGTAGTTTATTGGTCATTTTAAGGACTTTTGTTTTCTTTATGTTGAGGTATAATCCATACTGAAGACTAGCTGCTAATCTCTATCAGTAAGTCAGTAAGTGCTTAATCATTTTGGCTTTCAGTTAAGTTAGCAAGGTTGTGTAGGGTACATAGCACAGAATAGGATGAGTCTTCCTCCAGTCTTCTGCTTTCTTCTCATGTAATCTAGCTGCTCAGACTACGTGGCATACAGATTGAATAAGTACAGTGGAAGAATGCAACTTTTAAATAAACCTTCCTGGATTTTAAGCCACACTGTAACCCCTTTTTCTGATTGAACAGACTGCCTGTTGGCCCATGACGAGTTTCACAGGAGCACAGTGTGGTGTTCTGGAATTCCCATTCTTAATCTTCCACAATTTGTTATGAATCACACTTTCAGGTGCCTCAGGCTAGTCAGGAAAGCACAAATAAATATCTGTATAATCTCTGTTTATAGTCAAATCTGACATCAGCAGTGATAGCCCTTGTTCTGCTGAATTCGGAGACATTCAAACTTTATCCTACCATTGCCTGAAAAGTTAGGTTTTTAATTTTTAATTGGCATATAATTCACATGTCATAAAATACAAAAGTTTGGTCATAATGAGATGAGTTGTGCATTCATGACACAGTTTTAGAATTCAAAGTCCTTTAGATGTTACACTTCCATACTTTTCATTTTACTTCATTCCACATCCCCTTCCCTTTCACAAGTGACACAGGCCTTCAGATGTGACGCCACCAGCATCTGTAATCGTTCCTCTGTAGATGCACCTGTCCTGACTGGAGGTGTATGTGTACTTAATTCACTTGCCAGTTTTTTAAAAACAAAAATTAGCTCCCTATTCCTCATCTGTAATTTGGAGAGAGAAGATCCAGTAAGCAGTCAAGAATAATTTTTTTCTTAAGTATTTGAGAAGGAAAGAAAGCTGTTACTCGTTTTTGTGGTAAGATCCTGCCAATGGTGTAGAGGCTCCAAGGAGCTCAACAATGTCCGCTCCTCTCCGGCCAGTCTATAGGATACGTGGAGTCTTGGTTACTCAAAGGCCATTGTCAGTTTATTTTCTTTCCCTTTTGCTTTACAAGAGATTTGATGTTCTTGTCAATCTTTACATCTCTGGAAAATATATATATAGAGAGGATATATTGTTTTTTCTTCTCTTAATTTAATGAGCTTATCTATTTGTTCACAGGTATTTAGCATTGATTACATCTGCCAAATCATACACTGTTTTGTAAAAAATATATATCTGTTTCATATTGATCTATGGCAGTGGTTCTCAGCCTGTGGGTTGCAACCCCTTTGGGGGTGTCAAAGGACCCTTTCACAGGAGTCGCCCGATTCAGAACAGTAGCAAAATTACAGTTCTGAAGTAGCAACAACCATAATTATATGGTTGGGGGGGTCACCACAACATGAACTGTATTGAAGGGTCAACGGCATTAGGAAGGTTGAGAACCACTGGTCTATGGTATGTCTTTAGATTTCCCAGGACATCCGCTGGAAGAGGTAAGAATGAAAAGAATAAAAGATGTGTTGGTTTCCAAACCTGATGATGAGTAGAATCACAGGAGGGAGGTGCTTTAGAGAACTAGATTCCTGACATCCCCAGACTGACCCAGAAGGCCAGAGGTGGGCCCTCGGAATCTCTGCATATTATAAGCTCCCTATGAGATGACAATGATCAGGCACAGACTTTCGATCTACCATACTAAAATGTTCATAGAGAAAACAGGAAAGTTAGATGTTTTTGTTTTAAAGATGAAAGGTATTTTTATTGTAAAAGTTTATTTGGGAATCTAAAAATAAAAAATAATTTGATTAGTAGTTTTATGTAAGTACATGGAGCATGATTCTAATCAGACATTATAGTCTGAAAATGTGTCTTAAAGTTAGGCTATTTCTAAAAGGAGAGTCTTTTAGACTTATTCAGATTTATATAAGGGAATAATCAGGCAGGCAAAAAATTCTGATATTATGAAGGGCCAAAGCGGGTTTGGGTGATTCTTTGGCATCTTTTTTTCCAAATTGTTTATCTACTACTTGAGTTTGGGTAATTTAGGAATTCTTAGCACTTGGTGCATTTCTGAGAATTTACAATTTAACAACAAAATTCTACTTTTAAAAAACTCTTTTGTATGTTACATTTTAAAACCCTAATTGGATTTGCTAGTAGTTTAACTGTTTTGTATATTTTGCAAACATCCAAGCCCTTGGCTATTTTATTTATTGACAAGTATTGCTTTTTTATTTTTACTGAATTTCAATGTTACCTATAACACAGATTCTTTGTACATCCTTTGGACTCCCCCCCCCC